GTGGAGAGCATTATGTTAACTGCATGTCAAAGCGATTGTTAACTAGGACAAAAACAGGCGATAAAGAGCCTCTAATAGCAATTAAACCAAACGACGAACTTCGAAACATGACTGACATGCCCAGAAATTGATGGCCCGGCATCAAGTGCGATTAATCCACGCTGAATGAAATTAATAAGCTGCTCAAAGTTTGCCGGGCCGAAAGATTTGGGCGAGTATTTAGTTGGCCTAAATACTGTCTCGCATTTGGGAACATTTCAATTAAACATAATTACAATATTATCACTAAGCCGGCACACAAGCGTCGACCCGGACCAAACCCCAAACCCCACGCCCCAAATATCCAAACCCGTCCATTGTTTGCACGTCGTCAGCTTCGCCACATGAGTGGAGGCAGTTTGAATATAATTAATACTTAAATCCGGTTTTGAAAGCCATTCCATTCATTACGGCCCGCTGGCTGTCAATTTTGTGTTTAGCGGCCGATGGGCTTGTCGAAAGTTTTGATCGCTGTCATCGCTCAAACGATGATCTCCCTAATCCGCCGCAGGAGCTGAGTGCTCCGCCAACCCGACCCGAAGATGAAAAGCCCGGATTCCTGCCAGGACAACGGAAGGAGTCGTCGGGGATTGCCCTTTATCCTTTCGTTTGCGGCACTTGTGCGCCTTCAGTTCCTTTATTCTCCACTGATTTATTTGATTTGATAAGTCCTGACGCAAATGTGTTTCATTTACCTAACTCTCACGCTTTCAACTGGCTTTCTTTGGCCTCGACACAGAGTGAACGAAAGAAACCGGAGGAGACAATGGTCAAGAATAAGTGGAGCCCCACCCCAACCCTGATCCCTTCCAGAAATCAGAGACCTCTGCTCGGTCATTCCAAATTGAACCTGTCCCCGAAAGCTTCGCATCAAACATATCAAAGGTGTGTCTATTAATAAAACTCTTGAGACTTGGAAATACTTATAAAGTTAATCTATTACATAGCTCTTAAAAATGTGGAGTTAAATGCAAGCTTTTAACCAGAAAACCAATACTATGCAATTTAATTTTTCATGAACAAATACTAAAGCTCTTTTAAAGTTTCATTAAACTGCCTATTCAATTGTGTCTTGAACATTTTAAAAATTTATTTCATGACAATTTTTTTTGGCTTTGCCAAACAAACTGTTGTTGTTGTTATTATATGTATATTTCCTATGGCATAATTTAATAAAGATGAATGGCTTAATCTAAATCGTTTACAAATAATTATTTATTTCGGAAACTGTTCCTAGAGTGGCAGAGCATATCCGCTTCAGCGGTCCAATACAGTTGATTCAAACGGCTCTTTCAGTTTTTACAACTTTTTTACGAGGACCCCCCACCCCGCTGACCACCGAACGTTCCGCGGGGCAAAAGGTCACACAAGCCGAGACAGCCAGACACATTCAAATGGTTGTCATCAATTACGCGTGAAATGCGATAATAAAAAAGGGCGGCTCGGGGAAAGAACAGCCGTGGGAGTGCAGAGCATCCAGGACGTCCAGGACATCCGCGACGCAGGACACGGAGCAAGGACACCACCACATCGCCTGTTGCCTCTCGTCGAACTAATTAGCGTGAATTATGGGAGTTTGATGAGTTGCCTATGCTCGCCGTTTCCCTAATGAATGGTCGGTCGACAGTTTTGTTGACCATTTGTTGCATGCTACCACATAGGCTCCTTAATGGCCAGGGCTGAGGGGGGGGGGGGAGGGGGGAAGGGGAGGTCGACATAGTCCGTGCCGATTTGGAATCAATATACGCATCCGGAATGTTATCTGCCGTGGCTACATTCATTTATTCCGTCACAAAGACGACTTTGATTGATTGAGCCGCCAGCGGAGAAGAGCATATGTAACTGGGAATTAGTGCGGGGGGAGGTGGGGGAGGGGGTGGTGTGATGGTTATCCGTGGAAGATCCGATCACGATGGCCTATAATGTAAGCCCAGTCCTTGGACCCTTTGGCCGGGAACTTTACGACCCCCTCGAACCTTGTTGTCTCCTTTTTAACTTGACATTTATCGCTTCATGCGCATTTCTTTTACTTTGCACCATCCTCCAGCCCCCCTGTGTGTTCCGCCTTCTCTGTCTGTGTTTCTCATGTTTGCAAGACTATATATTTACCAACTTAATTGGTAGTTATAGACGTTCTGCCTCAATCTTGGAAGCAGCCAGGCAGACCCAAAGGCAAGTGGGCAAAGTGGGGGCCAACACAGAAACAAAGGCCAAGATGAAGGGAAAGTCTGAAGGAGCGCTTAAAGAGAATTTATTTGAATACCGATTATGTACGCAAGGGTTCATTCGCAGGGGCTTTAAGGTATTTAATCTAAATTATTTTCAATTAGCTGATATTACTTTACTGCAGGAATTTCCTCATTAACGATTAGTCGTTACACATCTTGATGTTGAAATAAGTATTTACTAATACATTTATTTAGTTTTCAATGTGGCTGATCTACCAATACTGATATCTTTGCAACTTGAATTAGGTTCCTACCCAAAAGGCAAGGAATTAGTTTGGATTTCATCCATAAACATCCATTCCAAATCAAAAGTTTATAAGAAGAGAAAAACTGAACAAAAATAGTTGTATTCTTTAGGAATGCACAATTTAAAACATTTAATTTGAAAAACTTACTGATTTAATAAACATTTTTTTTTGCTTTCCACATTAAAAAGTGATTAATAATTTTGTTTTAAATTTATTTAAGCTTTAAAATGATAAATAAACTAAGAAAGACACTTCTTTAAATGCTTTGCAAACTTCTGAGAAAATGTGTAAAATCAATTGAAGATTAACTTCCTTAAGAGTTAGCAAGTAATAAGTTAAATTGTAAGCTGTTCTAAGCGCATTGCTGTTCCGCTTGTTTCCCTCAGTGTATCATGTCGGAACACAACTGCTTTTGCTCTTGGCTGCCATTTACTACCACTCACTTTTCAGACAGCTTGAATTTCTCCTGTTGGCCTTGGCCGCACCTTTCTTCTTGATGGGTGGGTGGATGCGGTATCCTTTCAGCCAGACCGCCTCCACCTCCGCCCCCTCCTCCTGATACCCCCCTCCTGCCATCCTGCCATCCTGCCATCCTGCGTTCTGGCAGCCAGTCAACAGGCAAATCAAATGATTGCCGGGCGGCGTGTTGTGTGTCATTGTCTGCCGGGCATCGCGTCTCCATTGTCGACGGATCCGGCTTTGTCTACGGCCGTGTTTATGCCAGCTTTTGAAGCCAAGATGGGCTTGGAGTTTGCTTTTCCAGTGGCAGTGTGCTTCTGAGACGTTTTAATTGGTGAGCGGAGATCGCGCAATAGTGCGCTGGGAAATGAAATCAAGTTTAATGCAAAACTAAGTAAACTTTCGGCGGCGCCTTCTGCGGCTTCCAATTTGGGGGAACCTTCTCCGACTCGAGCTGTCCCTGTTTGCTGCTGGTAGTTTGCCTTTATATTGTTGGCATTTTTATTTTTGCCATCTCCCAACTTGTAGCCGCAGCTGGCACGAGGAATTCCAACTTCAGCCCAAGTCCCTATCTCCGGCAGTGCATCCCCCATCCCCCATTCCCCCCCCTTCTGCGCCTCTCGTGCCGGCGTCTTATTTAATTTGGAAGGCCGCCGCATGTTCGTTGACTTTATTTGCTGTATGTAATAAAATTAAAGCCCTTTAGCTATTGTACTTTCCAAAAAAAAAAAAAAAAAAAAAAAAAGGAAGCAAGGCAGAAGAACAAATTGTATCTGTACACACACGCACACACGCACACACGCACACTCGCACGCAGGCCATGTGGACCCAACGAGCCATGAATGCAGACTCTTAGCCCGGGATGTGGCCATTAGGTTGGCCTTTTTACGACCATAGTCCTAGTTGCGTATGTCTGCGGGCCAATCCCCCCTCCCCCACCCCTATACAGTAGTTCCCACACACACACACACACACACACACACATGTATGCATCCGCAGTCATGTCGGGGATTTCGCGTTCAATCTGGATGGAAGTGGGAGTTGCGGGTGGGTGGGTGTGTGTGTGTGCTGGCCAAAGTTTGCCCATCACTTACGTTTAGGCATTGATAATGAACTCTCGTCTGGAATTGCGTTTGAAAAAAAAACAAACTGCAAATTAAAATTTCGCCCTTGCCCATCAAAACAATCGCAATTACGCTGTTCAATCACAATCGGGAACTACCAGTGAGCTGAGTTGTTTTGTAATCTGAAAAACTAATTTTAACTTTATTTTGGGGAAACGCAAACAAATGCATTATAATTTATTTTCGAGTTATTCTTTGCACAAAGTATTTTAATCACATGCAAAGATAAATTCAACCAAGCTAATAATGATATTAAGTAACAAATAAAAACAAACACAGATTGTACTATTTATAAGATTGTAAATTTTGGTTCATATAATAACCGAACCCAATGACTGAATAACGTATGTCTTTATTCTCTGCGGCTAAATCCGAATAAGACACTTGAGAAATGCAAAAATTTTAAATTATTAAAACTTTTTTAAAACATTAAAGTCCTAAAAGAAAGCTTTAAATAATTAACTAGTTAATTTAACTTCACCCTAATTTAAAGGGAAAATTGGGTCTTTCGAGGAGAAAAATTTCAATAAATATCTTTTACCTTGTACACATGTGATAAAGAATTCATAATTATTTGACATTTTAGTTTACTTTTTGATCTGTTTGCTTTAAATTTTGTATAGCCCTTTACGGTTTACGAATCATGAAAAATGCATTCCCATATGGCAACTTGCCTACAACCTATTTATAATGGAAGTGTTTGGTTTTTAATTGAAAATTCATATTGGTACAAGGTATTTATTGATTTGGTCAACATAGAAGTGTATAGTTCTAAGCCCTCGGCTGTTTGCAAGTCATTGGAAATGCATACTGATATGACAAACGCCTCAAACTCAAGTAAAAGGCGTGTGGCCTTTGTAACGCTTTCCGTGTCCTTGCACTGGCAAATGTGTGGCACTCACCTCCGCAGTGGTCCTTGAAGTCGTCGCAGCAGTCGCCGAGCTTGAGGCAGGCGTGGTCGCAGTAGCAGGGCTTGTCGCTGAGGTCCTCGATGATGGCGTTGATCGGGGCCTTCTGGACGACGCAGGACGAGTCGCGGCCGGTGCAGCAGAGCTGCGCCTCGCGGCAGGACCCTCCGGCGACGAGGGGCACCTGCTGGGGCAGGACGATGGCCAGCAGGAGGAGTAGCATGGGCGCGGGACTGGCTCGTGGCTTCAGCTCCGACATCTCGGATCGAATGCGGTCTATCTGCGTATTTGGATTGCCGAATTTGAGTCCGTGTCACACACACACACACACACACACACTACACCCAATCCACCCCCTGATGTATTAGTATGCAAATGCAATTTACGCCCGAGAGCGGAAATTAAAACTAAAATTGAATTATGGGCAGCCATTCGAATGGGAATTTCTGGGGGCCTGGCCAAATCGAAGCCGGCAAAAGGCAAACAAAAGGGAGAAATGCAAAAAAAAGAATTAAACACATACACAGCACGACGAAGGACATTACACGAAAAATCGACAACGCACAAATATGAACTCTAAACACGGCCAACGAAATCAAAGTAGGTCGCTTTGGGGAGGGTAACCTGCTACCTTTTGCCTGTAAATCAATGCCGCCAAGGGGCGGGGTCGGAAGGCTAGTCTGTTTTGCATAAAATATTGAGCAAATGGCAACAAAGGAGACGCGACTCCAACTCCAACTCCAATACGGAATCCATCTCCGCCTCCGCCTGCGAGTCCACCTCCATCTCCGTCCATTGTCGTTGCCATTGCCATTGCCATTGCCGTGTCCGGGATAATAAAACAAAGACTTCAATTTTCATAAATCGTTGCCAAAGCGAATCGCAACAGACAGCGAGAATTTATATTAACAGCTGTGTCAGCGCCCAAGCGGGGTGATCAAATCCAATCCAGCCCCACTCCAATCCCAAATCCCACACGGAAAAAAATTCCTGCAAGTTCAGTTTTAAAACTGAAAACACCATATGAACTTTTATAGAGTTTAGAAAAGTGTTTATGGACTTGCCTACTTTAAAGTTTATAAAAAGGTATAGGAGAAAACATTGCTTTTGTCAATATCTTATCATAACAGTTACATTTGGGTCAATAATTTGAATACTATTTTATTTGAAAACTAGGTAATGGAAAATCTGACCGACCAAGATAGTCTTATGGGTGAAATTCACAGCCTTTAAATGAATTAAAATATATTCGACTTAAAAAAGCAGGAGTTGCTGATTTTTCGTAAAACAAAAGAAGTTTGGCAGCTAGGTATTTTTGACAGTGCTGTCCTGGTTTCGCGTACTACCTACGGGTACTCGCGATGCTCGTAAGTCCTTCACGTCTCCATGTGACCCGGATGATTCAATCCACTCGTAAAGTGCCGCTCCACTCGCAGTGTGTGCCGGGTGATTTAAACAGTCGCACTCAATCTGGCGAGGATTCGATCGGAGTGATTCCGAGTCTGTTTATGGCCGGAAAAGTGGGGACACCAACGCGGGAATTCAGTGAGTGCAAAGTGAATTGGAATCGCGATGACAGCGGGCATTATTCCAAATCAATTGAATAATCAACGTTTTGTAGGTAGTAGAAAAAACGATAGGAATTGATCTAACAAATGCATTCATTCACAATACATAAAATAATTATGATAAATTAATAAGATTTAACACAACACCAAACTAAAACGATAGACGAAAACTCCACAAACAAAAAATGTTAAACTTTTTTGTATTTAATTATTAATTATAAAATGAGCAAGAAATCAAAATTTTAAACTATTTTTTTTTTACTGACTAAAAGTTGAAACATGATGCCTTTTGGAAAGGTGTTTTTAGAGTTAAGTATTTAATACATATAAACATTTCCAGCAAGAGTATTATTTTGTACTTGAAAATTATAATTGCAAAATTAAAAGATGTTATTATCACATTAAACAGAAGCCATAAATAAAATAATCACTTAAGATATTCACGAGTCCGAATAAATTAGGGGGTATGCAAATTAGTGATTTTTTGTCGAAACTGCAGAATAAAGTGAGTTTCCACTACATTGTCGAAACTGGAATTTAATTTCAAAATTGGCCAAGCAACAGCGCTAAAATCTTTCGACTGAGTGCTTTTCAATGGAACACAAGGCCAGTTCTTCCTTTAGGATTCACTTTGAGATCTGTCATTTATTCGGCGAAAACCGCAGGAAAACACTGTTCACTGCACTCGGCCATTCATTCTTACCCACTCAGCCACCCCTCATTCACAGAGCATCCACTCGAAAGCCCAAAAATAAATATTATGCGACGCTGCTTGTCTGCATGAGGGCAAATAAATTATTTCGTAAGCGTCGGCGACCCGCAGCCGAGAAACAAAAAAAAAAACCCACGAAACAAACTAAATTTTGCGGCAAATATTTTCTTTGGGCGCGCGTGTGTGTGTGTGTGTGTGTGTGCGTGTGACAGCACGCGACATAAATGTCCTTTAATGATTAATAACTTTTCACTCCTTTTCGCGCGCACAAGCGTTTCAAGTTTCACTCAACAAAAAAATACAAAACAACGAGGGACGGACGGCGGCGGTCCTAGCCCATCCCGTTCCCAATCAAAATCCAATAAGCCGCCCACGAGCAACAACAGCAAGCGATCCTTGTCACGTAAACAAAAAGGACTCGAGTCGCCACACGTGTTGACAGCGTTTGGCTTACGTTCGCTATCGGCAGTTGGCTTGGAACGGAGCAAGGATCTCGGCTGAAGTCCCGTTACGAGGCGCACGCTGCGAAAGCCGGTCGACGACTGTGCCTCCTGCTGCTCGCGTGGTGAATTATAAGGCCGGCGCGGCAGCGACGCTGCCCCTTCGGCTCCGCTCGGCCATGTGCTTCGGCTCCACTCGGCTTCGCATTATCCATGCAGTTGCGCCGCCGCCGCCGTCGCCGCTGCGCCGTTTGTTGCGGGGCGGGACCTCCCCGCGGCCCCACCAACAATGTCCCCTGGTCCCAGTCCACTGCCCACTCCCCCTTCGACTCCACACCCCCCTTCGACTGCAAGGACCTGCTCAGTGGTGAGTTCCCACCAGAGCTGCAGGCCATCGCCATATGGCCGTGATATCAGGCGACAACCTGCCGTGATAACCGACAACAAATGGTGATGACGACAGCGATAATGCGCCCGAGTAAAATCAGCTAAGCAGGATTGCGAAGAGCCCGAAATGGAAAAATGGCGGATCTGATTGGAAACTGAGGATTCATTGTTTCCCATGCAAAACACAACTAAAATAGTACGTTTTGTCAGCACTTGAATGTTGTATATCTCATTTAAAGACACATTTAATTACACATATCCATAGAAAATCCGATTTATAAAAGACTTTCATAATTTTCGTACGCTCTTTAATTTAAAAGAAAAATCACGTATACGTATTGATACGTATACGTATATAGACTATGACAATCATTACAAATATATTAATAATAAAACAAATGCAATTAACGTCAATAATTCAATTAAGTTAATTCGCCAATACTTTATTTTCTATTTTCTCTGTGGCTGATTTTTCGGTTTCTTTAAGCTTTCTGCACTCGAGTTTGGAATATCTCATTTAAAGATACTACCATGGATACTTTTAATTATCTCATTTAAAGATACATTTAATTACACATATCCATAGCAAATCCGATTTATAAATGACTTTCATAATTTTCGTACGCTCTTTAATTTAAAAGAAAAATCACGTATACGTATTGTTAGGCTGTTGCCGTTTATGAATACTGAAATCTGATTTAGGCGCAAAAGACTATGACAATCATTACAAATATATTAATAATAAAACAAATGCAATAAACGTCAATAATTCAATTAAGTTAAATCGCCAATAAAACTTTTTTTTCTGTTTTCTGTTTTCTCTCTGGCTGATCTTTCGGTTTCTTTAAGCTTTCTGCTGGCAGCACGGACTTTTAATCATAACATGAACTATAACCACCAATTAGAACTATGCTCGGTTTTCGACTGCAAAGGGTGAAAACTAATATTGTTCCTGGACTACGCATTTCCTGGCTCCGTCATAATAGAGAATGATTACAATCCCTGAGTTCGCATTTAGGCGATGCGCCATCAAGCGGTGAGTTGCCACTCCCATTCCTCCATAATGTGTCAAATGTATCCCAATAAAGAGCTGGGAAGCCCACCTGGAATTTGGGACCGAAGGCGAATGCATTTACCTGCGTCAATTACAGCCAACTTAATGTTGGACTTGGCATCCTCGTCCTTCCGCCTGAGTGTGCGAAATGGGGAAATGCAGCTAACTGGGCCCGGCCAGACAATGCATTCGAGTTGACATACTTGCACCGATTCGGAGGCACTGAATTGGGAGGTGGAGGGCGGCAGGACGAGGGTGAACTGGCTGGAATGGAGTGACGTTTATGCTGACACTGAAAGTCATCAACAACAATATACAGTTTCAGTTGTGCTACACTCGTAGAAAAACATTAGACGTTTGAATTTCGTATAATTATGGTTATGAGTGCCGACTTCATTTATACTCACTGTAAGCGTATAATTAAAAATATATAATATAAGAAAACATTTATAATATGTTTACGTGTTTTATAAAAAAACATGTTTTTTAGGCGTCTTAAATAAAATGGAAATACATAAATTTTCAAAATATATAATCATAATCCTTGAGAACTGCTGGAAACATTTCATTTTGTTTTCTTAAAAAAAAAATAACAAGAATTGTAAAAAGTGATTGCTTGTAGAATCACATGGTTTTGGAGGATTGTTGGCCTAGCTTGCCTTACCAACTTTCTCCCAGTGCATGAGCGGCTTGAACCGGGAGACTAGCAAATATTTGCCGCATAGGCAAACTTGTGCCACTGCCACCGGGCTCCCATCCACCTCGTCCACCTCATCCTGGGCCTCCGATTCGGACGGTTTGGGCGAAGGCTTCGCTTTGTTTGGGTGTCGCGCATTTGGCGCGCCTCCTGGCGAGGCAAGTGTTTCCTGGGGCAGTGGGCATGGCATGGGGTGGCATGGCAGGGGCATGCTAAGTGGGAGGCTGTCGAACGAGTCCTCGTGTGGATGTTGCATGCGTCGTCTCGTTTCCGCTCCAGATCATAAACAAAGCGGACGCGTGCGAGGTTATGTACATAAATACATGCATATTTGATGTCATTTCGTACGCTGGGAGCACCAATACATACGAAGGATGGAGGAGACGGTGGCCCACCCACATCCACACCCACACCCACACCATCGACTTCACATGAACCCGCGGCCATTTAGCATTGCATACTTTTCGGCTGCCTTTTCCACCTGAGAAGCATCGAAGGGTACTCGCTGGAAAGATGAGTTTTTGCATCCGGAAGTCTCGGAAAGTAATCTTTTTTGCTCCCAAAACTACTGCCTCTCTTTTCCCCCTCTGAAAATAAACATACTTTAATTTGTGCAAATATTTTAGTTTCATTTATTCAGGTAAACAGAAAAAAAAATATAAATTGTTTACATAATTTGGCTTTCCTATTCAAACTAATAACAATCAACAAAAAGTTTCAGTCATCTAACAGTTGACCTTTCACTTTTTTAATCAATTTTGTTAGCCATAAATAGTTTCTCTACTGATTAACAGTAGTACTTAATTATAAACCATAATAGTTCATAATTTATTTTCAACATTCATTCTATCAAGCGAAACGGCGCAGTCAATTTTGTCGTAAACCACAACCGTTAATATTTCAACATTTATATAATTAGTAAGATTAGTTATATTTTGGGTGAAAATGGAATAAAAATCTATAGTTTGAAGATATTAACAAAAATCTTATCTATAAGCCGTTAGCTAAATATATTAACTTTCTTAATTCTGTATAACTTTTTAGAGATTTACTCTACTGGGATATTATACATGAACAAAAGTTACGTTTTGCTTAGACCTTTGTACTTAGTTTAAACCTAAATTTGGTTGAATTTCTTCTAATTGTATTATAATTCCTATAGTTTGCTTAATCGATTTCCAGTTTTAAGTACAACAAGTCCAAATCGCACCAAAATCAAGACTTCATTTGTTCAATAATTTTGTTTGCACTTTCCGCATCAAAATATCAGGGTAATCATAATTCGAACCCAAGCACCCAACCGAATCTAGATCAATTCCGATGCTGGTCTCTTTGTTTTCCCTACTGCCCGCAGGCGAATGCAATAAAAACAATTAAAATCAGCAGCACCAAAAAGAAGCAACATCAACTGCAACTAAAAAGCTGGCCGCCGGCATCGTTTCAATACTAATTGAAATGCCCTCGCACAGATGAACGAATGGTGAGGGAGGAGGGGGGGATTGGGGAGCGGGATGCAATGATGACGACTCTATGAACACTTTTGACACACCATAAAAACAAAATTGCATAAATCTAGCCAGCATTTGGCTGGAAAATATTCGGAAATATCAACTAGAAGCAGGCCGGGTCTTTGATAAGTCGGCTTTAGTTGCCACTGACAGCAAGAATTTTGGTTGGAAAGCAATTTTATTTATCATTGGACCCGCTCCGAACACTTCTTGGCCAAGGAGAACCGAAACTTAGCCCGCAGATACAAAAGATTGGATATCGTTGGTGGTGTGTGGCTAGATCTGGAGTGTGGAGAGGCCACCAATAGGGATGCACATCTGCAACTATCCAGATATGCCATTTCGCAGGGACCTTGAGTTAAATTTACATTATTAGGTGCCCAGCCAAGTGCGCATACTTGAATAGGCCCAGTTAACAAAGGGTTTTCTAATACACAAATTCTGCTAATCCTGCTAAGGCCATATCCATTGCATTTGTCTACCGAAAGCCTTTTGCAGAATGTGTAGGCAAATTACAGGGGCCGAACCTAAGACATCAGACATCTCGGTGAGTAAATATTTCTGAGAAGCATTCACTTGGATACAACTTTAAGGCGTGGTGCTGAAATCCTTACACTTTTCACTACATATATGGCTATATGAAAAAAGGCATTAAATACTCTACTCCAGGCTTGCAAAATTTACCCGAGACATAATTTGAAGACAAGTACATACTAAATAAGAATTTGTGCAAAATGTTTTAGTTGCTCTTAAGCGATTTGACCGAGACAACTAAAACAAAACATTTCATTCTCCAAAAACAAGTTTTTTAAACAAGTTTTTTTGTGTCTAAGACTTAAAATATTAAAATTCACTTGACTTATGAGAGCGGATAATAAGTTGTACTCCCTAAGTCTATTTAAATTAACAGCTAATTTGTATTACCGAAGTAAGAAAAAATCTATATTTTCTGATGCCGACACTAGCAAAATATTGGCATAATATAATTGCATTGTAGTATTCTTTATTCTTTCTTTAAATATTTGATATTGTGTATAAGACCTAAAATATTAAAATTCACTTGACCTATGAGAGCGGATAATAAGTTGTACTCCCTAAGTCTATTTAAATTAACAGCTAATTTGTATTACCGAAGGAAGAAAAAATCTATATTTTCTGATGCCGACACTAGCAAAATATTGATATAATATGATTGCATTGTAGTATTCTTTACCAAATCAGAAAGAAATTTAATGTGTTTTGGTCAATATTTTTATTTAAAATATCTTACTAATTTTGTCAGTCGGCCTACTGGTGTAATTCTAAAGACTTTACTTAATAAAAATAATAATTGCCGTCCAGGGTCGTGAGTGTGTTTCTTTGAAGCAAAGCGTATATTAAAAAATTGTAAGTATAAAAAATGAAATTTAGCTGAAATTAAATTCGCGAATAACACAGCTACAATTTACGCTTCGGCTGAATAAATTTGCAATCTTGAATATTTAGCGATTTATATTAAAATGTCTCACGATTTGATGTACATATTTCTCAGGCAAAATATGTGTATGCATAATATGTTTATTTTTCATCCATTGCAACTTGCATCATTCTCTCGATTTAATAGTGCTGAAATGAAATTGATTTATTTCTGGGGTGCCAGAGAATGAAACGAATTTGAAATATCCGAAATAAAAGGTGGCAGCCGATCGCGATATATATGAGCAATTTAACTCATCTTGACAGTGGCATTGAGGTGGCGCGAACTTTTAATCAGATGCGGGACGTGTGGGCTCTCAGTGGACTTGTGGCCAAAATGTTTTCAATATCATAAATTTTTAAAAATATCAACTGTTTGAGTGTGTGTGCGTGTGTGTGTGCGGGTGTGTGTGTGTGTGTGTGAGGGCTGGCCGGGTCGGTTGAATTTGAATGTGTGCCAACAAGTTGGGCATAGCGCCGTCTCCCGATTTTCGACGTCCGGCGTTCGACGACGACAACTCGACAGTTGCAATTTGTGCGTCGCGGCTTGAACAACGCGTGGCCAGAGATTTTTCTCATTTTTACTTGTTTTTTTTTTTTTTTGGCTTTCACTTACTCTGCAATTTGCTGACACATTTATTCGATGCGATTTACGGACACAATTAATTGACGAGTTGTTAAACATATCTATTAAATGCCAGCGGCCTGAAAATAGCTCGTGTGCAACGCGTAAAAATTTTCAATTAAAACCAATTAACAAGCAGCGGCGGGAAAATAAAATAAAATTAAATTTAAATACAAATAAAAGCGATGCCGGGAAGAAAAAAAGTAAACAACGCAGGTAGCGCGCAAGTTGGGGGCGTGGCAGTGGGCAGTAGGCAGTGGGCAGGGCGAATGCATAATTAAAAATTCATTTACCACACTGACAATGGCAAATAGTAACAGTAAAATGAAAATGAAAAGCACATTTACATACACACAAAGAAATTTCAATTGTATGTTTTAAAAAATGGAAAAAAACATATATATATATATTATTCTAAAAATATATATAATTACTTTTTTCGACCATACCTCTTGTGTCGTCTGTGATATTTTTGAAGTGGTGTTCTAAAATCAAGACTTTTTTTAATATTCAAAAATTTTTTTCTATGTGCTAATTATACATGCATGTGGGGGAGGTTTTATTGACCTGGCAAATAAGGTCGATCCCAAAGTGGTGCACTAGAATCGGATCCCATCAAGACGTATAAAAATTCCTGAAACGCCGCAACCACCCGACAAAACAACACAAATCTATTTTGGATATTCTGTGTTCAGTAGTCGCCATTTCCCGATTTTTTCATTTGTTTTTTTTTATTTTTTGTGGTGATGAAAAGGAAATCGGAGAGTGAACCACTGTGCCTGGTGGCTTGTGGGGCAGGGGGGGTGTCGGGGGGGTGGTAGTGCGATGCCACATTGTTGTGTTTTGTTTTATTTATAACGAAACGCAATGTGTGCGCGGCGATATTCAAAAGAGTCGCCGCCTATAAATAAGTCGGATATGAATGAATCCGATATGCAGGCGTTGAGAGAAGCCAGAACTATGGAAATTGATTTTCTACACACAAGCCAGTCATGAATCATTATCCGATCTGTTTGGGGCTCAAACATTGGGCGGTGATATATTTGGGGGGGGGTTGCCGGAAGCCACTTTCCAGCCAAGGGCATATACCACAAATTACTGCAGAAAAACCATTAAACAACAAAATAACTAAATAACGTTATTAATTGAGCACGGATTAAAAAACATAGATACATTTATGTAAACCTTGGGTTCATTAACAACACAATTAAGAGATAACTTGCTTGTTCGTTTTACCAAATGATTTGAATAAAGCAAGCTTTTAAAAATAATACCTGATATTTTTTAAGAGCTCATAAGAAATAATGGTTGTGAAAGTGGAGGCACCTTATGAGTAAAAACAAAACAAAATGCTTCAGTCCAGTGATGAAAAATATTTTTCCCTCAACATTTAAATGACAATAGGACTGTTTTCCAATCTGCAGTATACAAAAAATGTTATTTAATAAAGATATTACACAAATTTGGCAACAAATATGTACGTATTATGTACATATTAAGCTAATTTACATGTAGAGCTAAAAATAGAATTTGGCAACGTTTTATATAATATAAAGTACTGAAATCATAAATGCAATTTGGTGAAGCTCATTTTGCAGTAGCATTTCCAAAGAAATAGCTATCGCACTAAGAAATTACAACTTTCATGTTATCCTTAAAATATTTTAAAGGGATGTTTTGATTAATTTAGGAATTTAAAATACAAAAACCTTTGAAATACAGATATATTCTGTTTACACTGTTCGTAATTTTTTGATAAGTGAATAATATAAAAATATAAATGTATCGTATATTTGTAATATTTTATCAAAATTATTTCATAATTCGGTTATCATGCAATGTTGATATTGATTATCGCTTTTGCATTTTCCACATTTAGAATCAATACGATCCGTTAATTAAAATAATACAAAATAGTATCATATCTCTTTGATTTTTTTTGTAATGCATAATCGATTTATGTACCACCTATATTATTATTTTCAAGGATGTAATGGCTATTCTGGCTGAGCCACTGAAAAACTGCAAAGCAAATAGTTACTGAGGAAAAAAATAAATCAAACAGTCGTAAATTACTGTGGACTTTGAAACAAGGTTACCAAATGCCATAACACTTTTGCCACTATTGAACACAGAAACCATGGCCATTTCCGATGCATCATTTAAATAGGCGTCTAACAAGCCAGGCAAATGCTGCAAATTGGCGAAACATGCAACGGCCTGCTGCACGTCCGTTTAAGCCAGATCGATTGAGACACCTCGATGTGTGTGGACGGTGGGCGGTGGGCGGTGGGTGGCGTGCAGTGGGGCACCTGTTGCGGCCAGCTGAGTGGCATTTAATTGCCAGCTGTTGACAGCGGTCAGGAGTGGGCGTTAAATGGGGGTAGGATGGGGGGATGGGAGGATGGGAGTATGAGGTCCAGCGGGCTATTGGGGTGACAGTGGGCCGAACCGGTGATTAATGAGCGAGAGCAGGGGACGGTAATTAGAATACAATTAGCAACGGACGCCGCCACTAATGAGTGCTCTCATCTCCTGTGCCTCTTCTCGTGCTCCCCGCAGAACCACCACAAAAACAGCAACAGAGCCAGACATCCGAGGGTTCAGCAGTCGAGCGGCAAGGAGCAGCAGGAGCGACATGGCAAGGATGCCAGTGATTCGCCAGAGGGGGAGAATCAGGAGCAGGAGCAGGAGGAGGAGCAGCCCTTCCGCATCGCCCACTCGGACATATACGGGCGGTATCTGGTGGCCAGTCGCCAGCTGGAGGCGGGCGAAACCCTGATCCGCGAGGAGCCGCTGGCCATCGGACCCTGTGTGAGCGGCGACCCCGTGTGCCTGGGCTGCTACCAGCCGGTGTCCCTGGGCCGGGAGCAGTACCGCTGCCCCGGCTGCGGCTGGCCCCTCTGCGGACGCAGCTGCTCGGGAATCAAGCGGCGATGTGGCCACACCGAGGCGGAGTGCCAGCTGTACGGCGATCGACGGGCGGTCGCCGGCGAACTGCTGACGGATCGCGCCGGTCCGGCGGAAGTGCGCGACCTCTACGAACTGGTGATGATCGTGCGCATCCTCCTGCTGCGCCAGCACGATCCGGAGCAGTTCGAGCTGATCGCCCGCATGGAGTCGCACACGGCGGAGCGGCGGCTCAACGAGGTGCTGTGGCGCCACTACGAGGAGAAGGTGGTGCAGCGGCTGCGCAACGCATGGCGGCTGGATGACCTCGACGCGGAGCAGGTGCACGAGGTGTGCGGCATCCTGGACGTCAACTGCTTCGAGATCGGCCAGAACGGCGCCAAGGCGCGGACGCTATACCCGAGCGCCTTCCTGCTCGCGCACGACTGCACCCCCAACACGGCGCACACGGACGATCCCGCGTCCTTCGCCATCCTGCTGCGCACCTCGCGGCGCGTGCGCGAGCGGGAAGCCCTCACGCTCAGCTATGCGTACACGCTGCAGGGCACGCTCAAGCGGCGCGCCTTCATGCACGAGGGCAAGCTCTTCTGGTGCCGCTGCCGGCGCTGCGCCGATCCCCGCGAGCTGGGCACCGACTGCAGCGCCCTGGTGTGCGCCACCTGCCGGGCGGGATCGGTGCGGGCGGAGGACCCTCTGGAGCAGAGCGGCGACTGGGCGTGAGTATGCAGTAGGGAGATCGTTCTTAGTGGGTGGTGGGCGGTGATGGGCAGTGAGGAGTATCGCAAGTACTTCATGTGAGTGAGCCTATTCCTAAACAAGAAAGGAGGCAAACTTCGGCAAGCCGAAGTTTATATACCCTTGCAGTTATTACAAATCGACTACATTTCGATTTCTATGCCAATTTTACTAAAAACAATGAATGAACATTTTGCCATCGTTTCTATGGTAACTATATAATATTGTTGTCCGATTTTAATTTAATTAAAACCGTAATTCCATAATATTTAAATTTTACCAAATCCCAAAGAACAAACAAAAATTAAAAACAACAAAGTTATACTATTTTTAATTTTTTTTCCGATTGTTCCTATGGGAGCTATATGATATAGTGGCCCGATCCTTATATACTTATATAATACCTGTGAAAGGCAACTTCTTGGAAAGTTTCAAGCAGATAGCTTTAAAACTGAGGGACTAGTTTGCGTAGAAACGGACGGACGGACGGACGGACAGACAGACGGACAGACGGACGGACAGACGGACGGACAGACGGACGGACAGACGGACATGGCTAGATCGACTCTCCTGGTGATCCTGATCTAGAATATATATACTTTATAGGGTCGGAGATGTCTCCTTCACTGCGTTGCACACTTTTGACTGAAATTATAATACCCTCTGCAAGGGTATAATTACAGATCTGATATTTAGGAGTTTATAGGAGTTGTTGAGATAAATTTTTTTTTTTTTTTTTTTTACGATTAAACATTAACGTATTACTAGTGGCTAGTTTTCCCACAGTATTGATAATCGCAAGAATCAAAGAAATCTTTCAAATACTAACTATTCAAAATAAGGAATACGCTTAAAGTAATTACCTTTACATGAAACATACGTTTATTAATCGCATAAAAATGTTTTAATGCAAATAGAAACTCCTAATCGAAATAATATCGAATATTGATTTTATAAAGATCACATGAAATGCTTGTTTGAAAGGTATAACTTTAAAATTTGTATTTAAATGTGCTGGATATATGTACAAAATTCTAATTGTAAGATAATTGTAACAGACTACGATATATTCCCTTTCAATCTATTTTGGCCAATGAAAACAACTACTTCATTGGTTTTGGAATAAAATGCATGTGTTTTGCAAATTGTTTTGAATGACTCGATAGACAGGGTCAGTAATCTAAGTTAAATGGGGTCTCAAAGCAGGTATCCCAACCATCACTGGCAACCACTGATGGTAGTGGTCCAATGGGTGAAACGGAGTCTATTCTGACCTTTCCCTCATCCTCTCCGCCAGCTGCGACCGCTGCTCCCACAAACTGGGGGCAAAGGACCTCGAACGCCAGCTGGACCGCATCAACGACGACCTGGAGGCCATCGACGTGCATGACATTCCCGGACTGGAGAACTTTCTCCTACGGTGCGTACCCGAAGATTCACTCAAATCCTTTTAAGACCAAAAATCTGCACAACATCTTTACATGCTTTAACTAATTTGTAGAATCATTTTAGCCCGATTCGGCCGATCAATCTCAAAATGGATAAAACGTGCTACCTAATTCGAGTGCGCCAGCTATACTATTTCGCAATAGATGAAATACTAGATCGAATGCTACATACTTCTAATTTTCTTTCATTTTAATATTCTTTCATTCTTCATGTCCTCTCGGATTTAAGCCAAATTATGAGCTGAAATTAATAATATTTCTGTTTTATTTGCTCCGTGATCACCAATCAATAATCCTCCCGCAGATATCGGGATGTCCTGCGACCGAACCACTACCTCCTGCTGTCGGCCAAGTACTCGTTGTGTCAGATATATGGTCGGACCGAAGGATACTTGCTGCCGCAGATGTCGCCCGAGGACATTGCCCGCAAGGAGACGTACTGCCGGGAGTTCCTGGAAATCGTGGATGTCCTCGATCCGGGACTGACGCGTCTCAGAGGTGGCTCCATCAGGTGTTGCTCAGTGCGAAGTGTGCCATTAACCATTCACTTTCCCATCGCAGGACTCATCATGTACGAGCTGCACGCCCCCGTCATGGTCCTGGCCCAGTCGGCCATCCAAAGCGGACAGATCTCACGGCAGGAGTTCCAGCGCCGACTGAAGGAGGTCGTGAAGCTGCTCCAGGTCAGCCGGGATATCCTGTGCCTGGAACCCGAAGGATCCACCGAAAACGCCATGGGACTCGCAGCAGCCGACGCCCTCGTTAAAATGGGTTGCTAGCCAAGAGTCAAACTATTTGTAAATTAACTGAGTTTACCCACAAAGTGAAATGCATCTCAAATTAAAAATAGCAGATAGCCTTTGTATCTTTATTTGTAATTTTGTGTTTTAATTGCTACCCAATGGTTTGCCATGGAATATATATTATACAATTATCTTAGAAATAAGGACTGTTTACAATTTGATTAAACCATGGGAATTTTAAAAGGTTTCATCGGTCTGAAAATCCCTTAATATTTTTTATAAATAAAACGGAGAACGTTACAGTGGCACCTCGAATATTGAATATATTAAAGTTGCCTATAAATAAAGCTTAATGCTTAAAAGATCGAAATTAATTTTATTTTATTTTACTTGGCTGTCCTTTAAAGGAATGGTAACTAAATTGAATTTGTTGGTTTTGGTATCGACCTATTAAACAATAATTGTAGTGTTATTGAATTACTCGAGGTCATATGTTGGTTATATTTGAATTTCTTCTATAATAATTTGTTTAAAGTTGATGGCTTTAAAACAGACTCGATCGCTTGTGAGAGAGAAGAAAGACTTACCTTACTTTAGAAGGGAAATCATTACAGATAAACCTAACTAGCAAAATATTTTCATTTTGAATTTTCTCAATGCAGATTGAAAACTTACGTCAAAGATTTAATTTTAGTTCCCTTTGAAAAAGTGTACTTCGTAAGCTGTTAAGTAGAGTGAGTTATCCCACTCACAGCAAATCTGTCTCGTCATTATTGATTCCAAACTTCAACTTTATTCAAACTTTATTCTCTCCCACTCTTTCTCCATCTTTTCATCCGCCTTGGCAGTTTTTTGTTGAAGAATGTCAATAAGCGAAAACTCAAAGTGCTCCGACAACTCAACAGTTTTGAGTTTTCAGCCCAGAAGTCCGCTCCGCCTAATTGTGCGCCCCGGAAAAAGCGGAAAAACCGGAAAAGTCCGCCAAGGCGGCGTGGTCGAAACAAAGAAAATGCCCCACTGGGATGAGTTGTCACCGACTGGAGAAGTTTCTTATCCCAATGTTAATTAATGGACATTATTTGGCATTTCACTCGATTCACCAAAAGGTTGCCATGTCATTAAGATTGCAACCAATCATCAACTACTTATGGCCGCTTGAGAAAGTCAAAGGCCAAAAGACCAAAAAATATCCGAGTGCTCGGCATATAACTTAATGCCACAAAGAGAAAAATTCCCTAAGACGCCGCTGCCGAAAGCACAAAAACACTATTATGAATGCATTGAATTTTTATAATCATCCACAATGTGGCCACATGCAGATAAAGTAGACACACCCACTGCCGACTGCAGGTATGTATGACGACACAAGGGGCTGCAACACGCCCCACAAATCACCAGCCGTATGTATAAACGCAGATCTGAGCACACAGCCAAGTATATGGCATCACCAAGGACATAAATGAAACAAAAACATCAAGGAAAGCCTGGCAAAATGAAGCCTAGATACTCTTTGATGCAACACGATTAGCGGTTCATAATGATTCATTTAGCTAAATTTATAAACACAATGCTATGTTATTATTGAGGAATGAGCGGGGTCAACGAATTGATTATGATCGTTTATAAACTGTCTTTGAAAATATCCCATGCAAATATCTAGATCCTGCTAGTCGTTATTAAAAATGTATTTAGTTTGCTTTATTTTTTGGCAAATGATAGCGTAATCTTTTACCTACTGACTATCTGGATTACACGGGGAACATGGACAGCCACTAAGTTAAAACATTAACTAATTAATTACTATAAAAAAAAGGGACCGTAAGGTTTACTATTCATAGATTCTGTCATGTATTCAACTAAAGACATTATTCACAATTAAAATTAATTAACTGTCAAAGGTGTATTTTGGTTAATAAATTAATGAATAAGATATATGTATTTATTTATTTTAAATGATAAAATAGTTTATAAGACTAAAACTAACACAAAAGGGGATAACTATGTTTTGTATAAATATGATTAGAATTACATACAAGTGTAATATATATGTTTTTGGTGTTCTTTTAGGAATTTAATTATATTTATTATATTTGCTTTGGAAGCATTTTGAAGAAAGTCGGTGGTCCTGTAATTTATATGTGTTGTTGTTGGTCAAAGTTTCAGGATGTGTTCCATAGCTTATATATGTCTAGGCAAAATAGAAAAAAAAATATAAAACAAAAAGATTAGAAAAAGAAATTAATTTAAATAGAGCTGTGATACTAAAATAAATAAAAACTACTGCGAGTTATTAAAGTGGGATTTCCAATGAAATAAAAGTTATACTTTTAGGCACCCAAACTAGTGTTCTTGCACCAAACCCTATGTCGCATGCCGCAAACTCCTTCGGATAGAGTGGATCTAGCAAAAAGCGGCTAGAACTAAAAGCGTACGATAAATATAAATTGCATTGTGCAATAATCTTCAAAGTGCAACAAAGTAAAGAAACAACAACAATGGCTGCAAGCAGGACGACAAGGCGCCACACAGACACTACTAAAACACACAAGCACAACCACACACACACACACACACACACACACACACACGTATGGGGCACAATGAGATGTTGCCACATAAAACCATATAAAAACTAAGACGACGGCCGGGGAGGTGGAAGGTGGAAAAAGAGGAGATATATCCCTGCGCCAGGATATAGCCACACAAAGTAAACAAGGATGTGGGTGGCTGGCTGGTCCAGGGGGATTATCAGGGACCGTCTCTGGTTCCGGACCTGGGTCTGGATGTGGATCTGGGGTAATGTTTTGCCACAAAGCCAAGGACATTGACGTGGCAGCCAAAGGACCTGCCGGGAGTCTCGAAAAAGTGCCAAATGACTCGCAATTGTTTGCAATTTTCCATTTACTCTCACCTGTTATCCTGTGTACACAAATGGTTCAAAATGACCAATGGCTAAAAACATAATTATTGCCACTTCAAAGAGAAAATCTCGGATTAAAACAATTTCTATAGCCATGCTTTCACTTCAATAATAACTAAACTAGCATATATTTTATATTAAGTGCTTTCTTTTTTATTTAACATTTTAAAAACTTAATAAGGATTTTCTTAAACCAACAAAAAAAAGCTAATTCCAGACAACCTTACAAATATCGAAAAAGCTTTCACCAAAACATTTCTGTAACTTCGATTAAATGAAGGGCTGATTTATGAAAAAAGAAAACTAACAAAAATGTATTCGTATTTTTTCATGGCTTAAAATATTAAGTCAAGGCACTTTAAAAATAGTATTCGAACAGATATGAACAGAAGCCTGCCCTTATTTGAAACCAAATAAGAAAATACCTTTTGGGACTGCCAAATATAATAAAATAATGCCATTGTGAAACCAGGAAATTCAATTACAGAGAGATTTATCAAAGGACTCGCACTAGTACAGTTGACTCCATGTCACTATTACCCCCAGAGCTCGGCGCCTCTGCCTTGGACCACAACATTATGGCAGCTAACGGTGAGCCGATGATGCCGAGTATCTTTTGTATTTACTGCAGCGCCACGGCAAGGATGCGGCAAGGATACGACGGGGAAGGACGCCCGGGGAAGGATGAGAGTGCACGGAGGAGAATGCTCCGCTCGGCACTGGCTATCAAAAGTGTTGCTTATTAAAATAAAATTTATTGCTTGTTTGCAGATAAAAATGAAGACAGTGGCACGAGCTCCGCTGCTGCAGCTGCAGCTGCATCTGCTCCGTAAAAGTGTTAAAACGATAAGCGGAAACAGGAAGCAGCGCTGCAGGATACATCGCCTTGCCTGGAATCGCAGTTCGAGAAGGACAGCTCTCGAGACCCGAAAAACCCTAATGAGGGAAACTGGGGGAAAAATGGCTGCAGCTACTTGGTCACGGCCTCTGAGCAGCGGTTGAAAAAGTCCATCAACTCGGACGGACCTTTTTCGAGGACCTGTCTAGACGAAGACCAACGGAGTGACAGTTTCGATTGGAGAGATTCCACTGCGAAAAGTAAGTTCTTGACGAAATGAAATCCTAGCCGCCAGCAAACTAAAGTGACACTTGGGCAAAAAAGAGAGAAGGCTTAAAACATTAAAGAAAGCCAAACCTAAATCCATTGAGTCGTGTTAAGCCCTTTATTAAAGCTCCACGCTGAAGCTTAAGTGAATACTATTTGAGTAACAAAGATCAACAAATTAAATTATGGAACAACTACTCCTTTTATTTAGGGAACTATAAAAACTGCTATCAAAAAAATGCCGTCATAAATTAAGGTACGATTATACTTGATTTGAATTTGAATCAAGACAAATTGTTCTTAAAACCTAAAATATCTTTAAAAAGGTTTGAATAAAGTGCCGAATTCTCAAGACAATAGTAAAATATTTAAATCAAATACGTTTCTAACTTAATAAAATTAATACAAAATCAAGTACACTAAATTCTTAAGACTAGGTTGGTGCACTCTTTCTGGGTTAGTAACATTGGTTCTTAATGATGATATTATCTTAATTAAATAAAATAATTGATTTCAAAAATTTAATGACTACTTGTGGATCCATTCTCAGAAAATCTGCATTCAAAATTTTCATTTTAACGTTGATCAAAATTTTGACCCATTTTCATGTTAGTTATTTCAACGATTATTTCAACTTGTAAAAAAGTCACCTACAACTGGACTTCCAGAGTCCATAACTTTACCAAACTTAACTCGATTTCAAAGTGGCATACCTCTACAAATTTGTATACCCTTGCAGACGGTATTATAATTTCAGTCAAAAGTGAAGGAGACAATTCCGACCCTATTCTTGATCACCATCACCAGGAGAGTCGATCTAGCCATGTCTAAAGTTAAGGAATTCAAAATAACATTTTCACATTTGCTCATTCTAATATGAAATACTATAATATACAAGTAAAACAATTTCAGAGCATGTCTTTTGTTGCCATCATTCCGCTCAGGTTGGTAAATACCAGTTTATTTATATTCTATCCTATACAATAGCCTATATTTTGAGATTAAAAAAGTCCCAGGCCAACGGGTTTGGGGTCCATTTTTCCGCACAGTGCTGTGATGTTATTGCCAGTTGACCAGTTGACCAGATTACCAGTTGACCAGCTGACCAGGAATCGGCGAATAACTTGATTAGCTGCAAGGCCTAGTAGTTGTTGTAGACGAACTCGCTGAGGAGCGAGTTGTTGGGACCATCGCCTCCGACGGAGCCGGCGGTGGACCCCGTGGAGCCGTCCTGTTTGTTGCGCAGCAGGCGGTGCCGGAAGTGCATGCTGCGCAGGCGCTGCATCCGTCGCTTCAGGTTGCAGTAGACGGGGCAGCAGTCGGGGAAGGGCTTGTACATCAGCTCCTCCTCGTCGCCCTGCTCGCACTGGTCCGGCAGGATGTCCAGGCAGCTGGAGGAGACGGAGGAGAGAACAGAGGGACAGGGCATTAGTTCGGGTTCCCATTCCCAAGTGCCATTTTCTGGGGACGGGTGCTCTTCCGGGACATGCTCGGTTGGGATTTGGGGGGGGATGGGCGTGCACATGCTTAGCTGGTGTATAGAACTGCATTGGTCAACTACTCATTCGGCCTAGACATTTTTTCCACTACGAAAATAGACCTGGAGCGGGGCACTATGTGGTTGTTCTCGCAGAAGAGATTCGAGCACAGGCTCAGCAGGACGAGGCGGCGGGGCAGGAACTTCGACTGCTCCCACATGCAGCGGCGGAAGGTTCCTGCATGGAGAGAAAACGCGGTAAGTAAATCAGTAAATTGTCATATTTCTAACAGTAATTATAGAATTCATATACTTACCTAGCTAACAACTCAATATAAAGAAACTGTTATTTGTTTTCTCAAATAATGTATAAATATAAAATGTCGTTAGTAAAACATTTTATAAAACATAGTCTTATGTGAGCAACTTTGGTATTTAGGTAACAACTAAATTAAAAAAGGTTCTGCCTTCGCATTTTAATGCTTTAAAATTTTAAAATTGTGAAAGTAATAGTTTCTGTAAATTAAAATCAAATTGATATAAAACAACTCAAAAGTGGTTTTTAAAAATGTCTTCAATTGATTAAATATAATAAATTAGGGCACAACTAACAAAGTTCCTTTTTTTACACCAATTGTAGCTCTTATGACTCAAAAAGGTTTTTTCTATCTAATCTTAAATCCAACAGCATTTTAATGCTGTTCTTAATTAATTTAAAAAACTAAACTTTAGTTTAAGTAATATTCAATGATGGGACAGATGCATTGAATTGCTTCGTTTAATGTCTACAGAATGTTTACAATTTAAAATATAAAATTGGGCCCTAAAAAATATGTTTCTCTTTATTTCAAAAATAAAATAAAATTAGAAAAAATTTGAGCTAGAAGAAAAGTTGCACCTAACTAGAAACTCTTTTACTCGAAACTAAAGTGCTTATCTAACATATATACCCGTATTGATATTTTAGTAACTTTTTCTGCCTGATTTTATCGGTGTGCGACATGCTTTTTTCTCAGTGTCTTCGGGGGGAACACTCACGCAGCACACTGTTATCGTTTTCGCCCGATTCCTCCTGCGTGTTGTAGTTGCGCTGCAGCTGGTAGTGCTTCATGTGGAACTGGCCGAAGCCAAGGACGCCGACGAGGGCCAGGCACAGCAGGACCCAGATCTTCTCCAGCTGGTACATCTCGGTGACTCGGCTGGTGGGTGCAAACTACGCGCTAAGCTCACACCATGCCACACATTAGTTTGTCGGCATTACGTATACGCAACGTCTGACGCTATGCTCATTGCCCTGCAACTGAGTGTGTGTGGGTAGTTAAATTGGCGTTTGTGCCACGGCACTTGATTAAATCAAGAATAAAATTGCAATGCAAATTTTGCGTTTTACCCAGGCCCATGTCCATGTCCATGTCCATGTCCATGCCCCATTCTCCCATCCCCCAAGCTCGCCCATGATTAATGCCCCCAATCCAATCCAATCCAATCCCATCCAAGTCCAAATGCGATGATGGCATGCAGGGCGGTGCTATGGCAATGTGACGAGAAACAAACCCAGATTGGACCGAAACAGTTTGTCATAATAATCGTTTGTTTTTTCCAGCAATCGCAATAATGTCAAGTGCAAGTTTTGTGGGCCACTCGAGTGGCAAAAGCACATGGAATTGGCGATCTGTTTGATTTAGGGCGTGCGAAGGGAAGTGTTGATTGTTTTGCAAAGTGACGTTGAACCGCCAAGTGATCATCAAATGCCGTGAATGAATAGATTTCCCAATTAATTTGAGTTTTAGGGAATAAGTATTGGTACCTTCACCAAACAAATGCATTTTTAAACTGGTCACAGAAAGCAAATTACAAATTGTATAACTGAATAAAAACGTTTGCTTATTCAATCTTATTTGGCGGACAACAAGTATTTTAATAAACTAATCGTTGTGCTTTTATGCCCAAATGCTCATTCACATTTGCCTCAGTTGATTTGTTAATTAGGAAGTCTATTGTTGATTTATTTGGGAGTTTAGTGCACTTTAACCCATATGAACAGAGTTCATTGGGGAATTTCCTCGGTCCAAGCTCCCGATTCCAATCGCTAAATCGCGAGCACTTGCAACCCATCTGGTTTTGCTCCTTGCCCTTTTCATTTCCTGTTTTACTTTTCTTTTTGTGTCGCTGTCGCGGGGCGTGGTCTGTCAACTCATTAGCTGGGTCTGAATCCCCCCTTCAGCCCCCGCCACCACCCTGTCCCATTTTTCTGGAAAAGTCGCCATGCCACCAACCTTAAGTAGCTTAAAAGCTTTTTTTCCCAGCTGTCCCATGCGAGCAGAACTCTACAAGAAAAGGGAAAAACTTATTCGATGCATTAGAACATAATGTCTTAGTTTGCTCTACGCTTTTTTGTCAGAATGATGGCAAACATCATATAAACTACAAGTTCCTGTAAACAAAGCCCCCCATCAAGCAATTCATTAAGAAAGATCGAAAATATAGATGTCATCAAAGGAACTTTGAATTTTCTTGGATATTTTATATACAAATTATGAATACTTAACCTATGAGTCAAATTTCATTTACGAAGGTTGCCAGAAAGCGCTTCATGATTGACAACACATGTAAATACCCTTTTCAAAAATAATTCGGTCTTAGCTATTTAATAATTTTCTACATTTATTTACATTAAATGGTAAGAATTAAAATAGTTTTAACTATTTCATTGATTACAAAATTATTGCATTTCATACTCTATTAGGACAAGTAAATAAATAAAACTATTCAGTTTAATACATTGATTTGTTTCTGTCTTTAATTATTTTCAGCCAAACTCTTTAGTGAAACCCATGATTCCCTAATGGGGATTCGTTATTGGTCACCAGTAAATGAAAGTGAAATTGCTTGAACTGACAGTGGTAAATCTGATGCATTCACATCCGTTTGACCAACTGCCGCGGGCACATGTGCTCCTAACTGGTCCGGAAATTATCAGGGGGACCTGGGCCTGGGAACTGGGGATTAGCCCAAAGTTGTCGGTGGCAGCTGCTTTCAGCAGTTGACTTGCGGCTGGGTGCCGGTAAATGGGTGAATGGGGACCGCTTGGAGCTGCATCTAACTGATGGAGAAGTGGAGCCACAAACTGCAGCGGGATGGAAAGTAAAAGTTCCATCTCGACCTCCTCGAATCGGTGCACGCAATAATACTCCAAAACTTTGACTCAGATCCGCAAGGAAAAAAAAAAAAAAAGGAAAACAGAGGGCGAGTAAACGCAGCAGAAGTGGGAAACAACAATTTTGAAAACTTCGACTGGCAGTTGGAGAGACTGGCTGGGAAAACTGGCATTTCCCAGCTCGCGCTCCTTATCCCTTTTTTGGCCAGATCGAAAGGAGTTGGAAAACGGTAGAAACGGCAACGGCAGGGCTTTATTTATACTCGGTCGTACACTTTCAGCTGTCTGCAAATCGTATAAATAATTTCTTGACTTCTTTTCTTTTGGCATTTTTGAAGCATGCACTAACGAAAATGATTACAAACTTTCCCAAATGACATCGTAAAAAGTTAAATAAGTTTTCAGCAGTGCCGCAGTAGCAATGGCAGCAACAGCAAGTGGGCAAAACGACACGCTAAGTGCTAGCAAATTCCATGCGTAATTGCATCCTGAATATTTATTTTCCGGAGTTGCAACAGTTTCGAGTTTCCCTGCATTATTCAAGTCTGACGTATGCGAGTTAACGTTTTTTTGTTTTTTGTGGGTGATTCCTCGTCGTTTGCAGCTCACATCACGTATACGCGCTGGTGTACGGTGTACGGTGAAGCTCGAGAATTAGCTGCGCATTAAAGTACGCAGGTGAACCCGTAATTCAGAAATCACCAGGGAGACGCTTTAATTTAATTTATTAGGACTTTTCTCTTGTACTTTGCGGGCATACTCGCGGCGGTTTTGGAATTAATCATATTTCAGGTTTGTTCGCAGTTTTCTTTTTTAATATCACGAATACGCCGCGTTGAACATGTATGGGCCAAATTAAGTTGCGTATGCCTTGATGAAACCGCCAAAGAGAGGAACTAATTGAATTTATTTGTTTTAATAAAATTTGAAGTTTGTTATTCATAATCATAATAGCGTTTCAAAGTTAAATTGTAAAAATTTAGTAAAGTAAAATGTATATATATTTTGACACCAAATAGGTTATTATTAATTCAATGTTTATTTTTGTATAGAACTAACAATACCTACTAATTAAACGTTCAACTCTATATTGCATCAAGAATGTTTTGTGTAAATAGTTAAATAAAAATGGTCCTACGGTTTTACTAAGACATTTAAAAAAAACTTGATTCAACTGCCAAACTCTCAAAATAATAGTAAAATTCTTAAATCAATGCCGTTTCAAAAATATCTTAAGAATAATAGGTTCCAGAAATCTAATGAACATAGCAAGTAAAACTGAAATTTTCAGAAAACCAAGTACCCAAAATTCTTAAGTCAACGTTATTGTGTATTGACTAACATAGGTTCTTTATAATATACAAATCTTTCAAGAAATGACATTAACTTAAGAAATATAGATTAAGTAAAAAACTACATTAAATGAAACAATAAAAAAAAATATTCAGGAAATCATAAAAACAAAATTCTAAAACCCATCAATTATCTTTAAAAGTAAAATAAGTAATTTGGACAATAACTAGTGCATTCGAACTTGACTCCTTTCAAGCATGACTTTAGTTAAGCCAAGCTTCGAATTCTTGGTTTTTTCCCTAAGTGTATGAAATGTATGTAGTAAAATGTTATTGGGCAGGATCCGATTATTTTTGCAGTAAGCTGTTATCGTTAGTATTTATTTCTATTATTGTAGTCATAAAACATTCAACCACTTTAGCTTCCTACGCTCGTAAATTAAAGTTCTATACAAATTCAGGTGGACTACATTTTCGTATCTTTATTGTTTTCTAAGATTTATATTAAATTTGATTGCAGCGCTGAAATATGAAAATAAACTGGCACTGTTGCCATAAAAAACAAATACATTAAACTTAATGTAAACTTAATTAAAGCTATTAAGAATTATAGACTCTGAGAGAAGAATAACAATTTGAAGCTTACAATAATTGTCAGTGCTAATTATTTATTAATACCATTAAGGATTTTGATGAATTTTAAATTTTTATTGAAAATTTCATAAGCGAAGGTTTCATTTCCCATTTAGAATATTCAAATTAATAGCCCATTGTGAAAGTACATATTAAATATAACTTTAAACAGACAAAGAGCCGTAAATTCCAAAACGCTAGTACACAAAGGCGCCCAAGTGCCTTCCCGCAACCGCGCCCACCGCACCACCACCAGGCCACACCCACCAAATACCGCCCACCGCCCACCGACCGCCGCCCTCCAAAGCTCCAAAGCAGAATCCTGCTGTGTTTTATATTTAGAGCAGGCAACAATTAAGTTTGTAAAAGTTAAAAGTTTTCCAGCGACAACATTGTCTGCGACGACCTTTTGTTTGCACGTGGCTGTTATCCACTCGCTTCACCTCCCTCCCCTTCCCTTCCCTTCTCTACCCCTTTCCCCTCCCGCCACCAACCCATTCCAGTCCCGTTCCGCTTGGCCAATTCAACTAAGCCACATCCCTGCTGTCAGACCAACTCGAGGTCCTTTAAGCCACCTGTGGGAGGGGGAGGGGTAGGGGGAGGGGGAGCGGGGTGATGTTCCTGAGGCGTGGGGTCACCTGTACGTGTTGTTGTGGAAGGCGTAAACTGTATTTTTATGACACTAAGCAAACAATTAACTCGAGCGGCTAAGCATTAGAAAAGAGAGTCCAAATACACTGGAAACTATTATAATTAAAATAACAGAAAACATGTAATGCCACACAGTTAAAGAGCTTTACAATCAATCACATTTCAAATCAATATTTCACTAAATTTTAATTAAAAGTAGTACTTACGACAAGCGACTTATTTTAGGTGGTTGAAGCAGAAAAACTTTTCTATATTTAGACAATTAAGTTAATTTAAATCTAATTTCAGAAAGCTGTTCTTGTAATACGGAAAACACTTAATAACTAAAGGCTTTTTCTATCCAATAGTGTAAGATCAACGGTGTTAATCTAATAATTAATTAATAAACTATTAACGATAATCAAGCGAATTCAATTAATTGTAACAATGGATACATACCTAAACATTATTAAATACAATATTCTAGAAAGCTGAGTAGGAT